TCTTCGCCCTTGCCCTCGGTGGTGGCATGCTCTTCTTCCCCGAGTCGCCTCGTTTCGACTACCGTCACGGCCGTGTCGACAACACCCGTCGCAACCTCGCCAAGTTCTACGGTATCCCCGAGAACCACAACCGCATCATCGAAGAGTTGAACGAGATCCAGGAGCAGCTTGACACCGAGTCCCAGGAGCAAAAGTGGTACGAGTTCCTCACTGCTCCTCGCATGTTCTACCGTATCCTCCTGGGCATGGTTCTTCAGTCGTTGCAGCAGCTTACCGGTGCCAACTACTTCTTCTACTACGGTACCACCATCATGCAAGGTGCTGGTATCTCCAACAGCTTCATCACCCAGGTCATCCTGGGTGCCGTCAACTTCGGAACCACCTTTGGCGGTCTCTATGTCGTTGAGAACTTTGGTCGTCGCAAGTCTCTGATCGTCGGCGCCATCTTCATGTTCGTTTGCTTCATGGCCTTTGCCTCTGTCGGTCACTTTGCTTTCGACCACGTCACCCCCGAGAACACCCCTGGTGCCGGTAAGGGTATGGTCGTCCTCGCCTGTCTGTTCATCACTGGTAAGTCTTCCAACCGCCAACAGTACAAGCCGTCAAGAAACTAACATGGAAAAAAAAAGGTTACGCGATGACCTGGGGTCCCATGATCTGGGCGATTTGCGCTGAGCTCTTCCCCTCCAAGTACCGTGCGAAGGGTATGGCCCTGGCCACCGCCTCCAACTGGCTGTGGAACTTCCTCATCGGATTCTTCACCCCCTTCATCACCAACGAAATCGACTTTGCCTACGGCTACGTCTTCGCTGGCTGTCTCTTCTTCGGCATCTTCGTCGTCTACTTCTGCGTCATTGAAGGACGCGGCCGCACCCTCGAGGAGCTCGACTGGATGTACGTCAACCACATTGCCCCGTGGAAGAGCGAGTCGTACGAGATTCCTCGCAACGAGATTGCATACGACACCACGCCCCGGAAGGAGCAGGAGGTGTCGCATGATGAGAATGCATAGACGCATTTCATGATTGATGTTTTTTGTTTGTATATACCAACTGCTCGATTTTGCTATCTTTGTTGTCCTTTTGATATCCTCTGTTGTACATAGACTGGGCGTGGTATGCCATCTTTTTTACCGCTACTACTTCGTCGTGATATATTGCATAGAATGAATTGAGCCACTTTCAAACTCACCGCTCCTGCAACTACAATGGACCTTCGTGTGAACATCCGGAAACAGAAACTAGCGTAGAACACAACTCGTAAAGGGGTAGCACGAACCCGGAAATCCCAACTAATCCGGCACGGCAGATAACCCTCCACAAATTACCGTCCCCGTTGACGTCCATTCGTATTACCTTTCCATTCGAAATAGCCACGTCACATCAAACTGCAGAGTAATCCCGCTAAAACCCTCACCCAACCCCCCCCGGCTTCATCCCGAAGCCCTCCGTACTCCGTCCTCCATCCCCGTTTCCCCGCCTCCCATCCCATTCACACTCACAAGACAAAAGCGAGACCTTGCATCCGGGCTAAATCCTTCGGATATGCACGAACGGGTTTCTGGCGGCTTGGTCCGAGAAATCGGGTAATTAGAGGATAATTGTCGTAGCGAGTGGGATTTCGAGCGCGGAGTACGCACCGAGGATCCACTTTCCTTGATGGGATATACGTGGTAGTAGTGTGAATAGAGTGTTTCGGGATGGTCTATTTTATATAGTAAGTAATAGCGCATTTTCTACAGAGTACACGGTGGATATTCTCGTTCTGTGGATTACTATGAATCCAAAACACTGGCGTGGCTGTCATATGTCCTTTGTGACCTTTTCATTCTGCACAATGCCAACAGAAAGGAGCTCATTTGTGAGCATCTTATCTCGTACGGCCATTTTAGAAGTGTGTATAGTATGTTAATTAGCGGAAGAGTGCTTCCTAAGCTCGAAACCTCGATAGGAGCGGGATGTGGTGGGAACCGGATCATATGCTCCGGCTTAAAACATTGTGTATTAGACAAATGCCGGGGAAAGTTCGTCATAAACATATTGTATGCTTCCCAATGACTATTCCATCGCAATTCTAGTATTGAAATGCGCGTGGGTTGATGGAGAACCGGTCTCAGCGCTCAGTGACGGATACTCTCCTTGCCAGTCGGTCTTCAGATTAGTACTATAAATCCAGGGCTAGACGCTGCATGTGATTCTAGAAAGAAGACACTGCGATCCAAGGATGATGGATATCGTATGGCGAGCAGAAAAGAAATCGCTCCGTTTCTCTGTTTCCTCCCGAATAACAGTGTGATGGTGTATGAGTGTCTTGCAGAGGATATGCTGCTTAAAGGCATCGTGAGGTGCTTGAAGGGTTACATCCCGATCGGGGGATGTATTGGCAATTGCGTTTTCCCTTGTAATAAAAGTCAACAGACATGGTTCTCTTTTTAAGAGACGCTGCTGCCACAAGTAGTCCCAAAAGGGAGTTAACCCCGGTTTCCCGTGCTTCTCTGCACGCTCAAGATATTTCTTTTGTTCTTGCTCCTTACCACTCCTGTGCACTTTCCTAAAGCGACAGACAAGGTCTGAATGAGAAAGCGAGAATTCTTTCGAAAAAGTCTTCTTGGCTTCTAGTAAGGTTGTTGAGCTGGCAACCTCCCTCTGTCGGAATATAGAGGTTCCTTACCGAACAATACCAATCGATGCCTGATTGATGCCTCGCTGATATCATATGGCGCAAGCAGCGTATTTACTCTGCTATTACTGCTTTTGAAACCGCACAATCGCTTACTATACTCTATACGGTAGTTACGGTCTTATATAGGATCCTAGATAGCACACTTTTGCAAGAATCAGAGACCTCGACCATATACGCTTGATACGTACTTTCAACCCTGACTAAGCCGCATCTCCGACACCCTGAAAATGTCACGTGATAGTTCCAATTATTTCATTTTCCCCATACTCTGGCCCAGAGGTCTTCATCCCTTGTCTCAAAGAACAGCTGTGGGATTTCGCAATGTGTTGTGATTTCGTACGGGAGTAATAGAATACCCCATTTCCATACTCCGGTGCGAACTAATGCTGGCATTTGACATGCATAGAGTCGTTCCGCATCTTGACATGTATGCGTACTTACAAAAGTTTCTTCAGACATATAATTGCCATTAGGAGAATCAATACTCAAATTCTCTGCCGGGATCGTAAGTCAAGCGCTCGTTGAGCTTGTCATTTCTCATGCAATATCTGTTTCCCTTTCTGGATCATACCTTCCAAATGTTCAACACCACGTAGTCCATGTACACAGCAGTTGCCCGTGGTCCTGTGTTGTCAGAGCATAAGGGTAGTATCCTTCACATGGGTAAGGCTCGTGTATCCAGCAGACAAGTTCGTCTCATCTGATTTCCATCCATTGACTCCTGAGATAGGCTAAGTCTCGCAGTGCCACCCGGCGGGTAGCATGAGTAGTGATGAACCTAGATTTTTTGCATTTGCGGCCTATAACCCTCCGTTTCATCCATTGATCTGAGAATTATTGGCTTGTCTTCAATTAAGCTTCCCCGACTCTGGGTAGCCGACAGGTGACAGGATTCCTCCAGCAGAGACATTTATTCCAACCACGAGACACTGCGACCCTCCCACCCGCGTTGCACATGTATATTGCAAGACTACCCCGAGTGCACAGCCCAAGGTCCGATTTCAGCAAGAGGTGCCGTGGATAAGCGCTGCACGAAGCCACGTGGATGACCTGAAATCCAAAACACTGTCTCGGCCGCCAAGCTCTGGCTGCCCACTCGCCATCGACGATTTTGCTCAAGAAGGACCTCATCGATGATCTGGTATGCTTATCGTACATCATTCATGTCAACCAAATCAGATAAGTTGGGTCTTGCTCCAGTTCGAAATGCACAACGAACGAAGCGAGCAAGAAGAGACAAGAAGCATAGGTAACAACATATCTAACTCAAGATAAATAAAAAGCAGGCAAACCAAGACTTAGATTTACAGAAAGCAGCAGAAAAGCAATAGATGTTGAGGTCATTAGATTTTCCGTAGAATACGAGCAACATTCATGTTTCTGGTGTGTAGGTCACGGTGCTCTCTTATTTGGCGACATGGCCAGTCTCGTGAGACTATGTAACCCCATAGCACTATGGATGGTAGCTCGTCGCAGAATTGTACCATTCCTAGGACTCCCTGGTTGGAAGCGAAGAGGATCTGTGGAAGAAGTGCCAGACAAAATCCTTAACACCCCATAGGCGATCCTAAGCTGATTTCAGATGAGACAACCTTCGAAAGTAATGCTGCTTTCTCACAGGAAAGGGCTACTTATATCCAATCACGTATCATGTTGGCAACTGATTTTGCCATATGAGAGCCGTTAGGCCTGGTCATTTGATCGTAATGTAGAATACTGAAATAATGTATGCATATCGACGGAAGCGGTTAATGCCAGCTATCGATGTATCTCAAGGCACCTTTTTGTCTGACGAGGAAGAAAACAGATAGATAGATGAACGTTTGATAGAAGTTGACAAAGGGACGAGTGGACAGAGCAGTCGGAATAACGGTTAATGACTATTGACTCCTGAATCGGGATGCCGAGTTCGGGTCGCTTTACGACGCCGAGTCTACTCCGGAGTACAATCTACCTAGGCCTCTAGGTAAGCTTATCGCAGTCAATCCACCGCAAAGATCAAAATTGCGCAACCGTATCAAATCAGCATTTCCTTATCGGATCTAGCCATGACAGGCACCGCCGTCCCATCAAGATAAGATTAGATAAAAGTTCTAGACATCGGAGGATTATCAAAGATAGCACATGGATGCCTCGTTTGTTATTGCCTGTTATTATTGCCAAGATGTCATGGTAACCAGTAAGATACGGATGTCATGCACCATACCCCGCGTCTTATCTTGATGATGATAGGGCTGCCATCACGACATGTTCAAATAAATATATTCTATCCCCTATGCTGGTGGCCAGTCGCATTGATAATATCTGAACTGTCCACTATGGGGGATAAGGGCGGCCCTCTTCAGGCCATTGTCGAGGCGGATCTTCTAGACGAGGTATTCTCGCTTTACGATCATGTCTGTTGTCAGTGAACTAACAACTGCAGAGATACCAAACCACCCAGCGAGGTCTCAAAAACCGCCATGTCCAGCTCATCGCTTTGGGCGGTACCATCGGTACCGGGCTCTTCGTCGCCTCCGGCCAGGCGATGGCCATCGGGGGACCCGCAAGTCTACTCGTCGGGTATATCATTATCTCAGTAATTATTTACTCGCTGGTCACCGCGGTTGGTGAGGTCGCCTCGTATTTACCGGTCCATGGTGCGAGTATGAGTTATCACGGTTTTCGCTACGTGTCGCGCAGTCTTGGTTTTGCGATGGGATATCTATACTGGTACTCGCTGGCAATTCTGATGGCGTACGAGCTGACAGCGTGCTCGTTGATTATCTCCTACTGGAACACGAGCATTAACGTCGCGGTGTGGATATCGATCATGTTGGTTGTGGTGGTTATGCTCAATTTCCTGCCGGTTCGCGGATACGGCGAAGTAGAGTTTTGGTTTGCTGGTATCAAGATCATCACTCTAATAGGGCTCTTCTTGCTATCGTTTATCCTCATGCTGGGCGGTGGTCCTGACCACGATCGAAAAGGCTTCCGGTATTGGAACAACCCAGGCGCGATGAACGAGTACCTCGTTGGAGGCAATACCGGTCGCTTCGTCGCTCTTTTAGCCACCATTCAAAAAAGCAGCATTGCGTTTATCTTTGGTCCGGAGTTGATCGTCCTCTCTGGATCTGAAATGATCTCGCCGCGACAGAACGTCTCCCGCGCAGTACGCAATTTCGTCTATCGACTGGTCTTCTTCTACGTCCTTGGCGCCTTGGCTATCGGAGTCATCTGCCCATCGAACGATAGTAGACTCACCAGTGGCGGCTCAGGGGCTGGCTCTTCGCCGTTTGTCGTGGGGATCAAGAACGCCGGAATCCCGGTATTAGACCACATTATCAACGCCGCGATCCTGACCAGCGCATGGTCAGCTGGAAACGCATTCCTGTACATGTCCTCGCGATCGCTGTACTCACTGGCGGTATCCGGTAATGCGCCAAAGATATTCAAGACCTGCACTCGCCGTGGCGTGCCATACTACGCGGTCGGCGCTTCCTCGCTCTTCGCAGGCCTAGCATACCTCTCCGTCGGCAGCTCAAGTTCCGTGGTATTCAACTGGCTGGTCAACTTCACCAACACGTCTGGCTTCATCTCGTGGGCATGCTGCTGCGTCGTGTACTTCCGTTTCTGTCGCGCAGTCCAAGTCCAAGGCATCGAGAAGCCGTACGAAAGCCGCCTACAACCATGGGGCGCGTACATCGGCATGGCAGGCTCCATCTTCCTCATGCTAATCAACGGCTTCACGGTATTCTTCCCATCGGAATGGTCCGTCAGCAACTTTTTCACGGCGTACATCGGCATCCCGGCATTCCTCGCTTTGTACTTTGGCCACCGAATCGTTTATTGGCGGGATCCTTGGGCGTGGAAACCGGAAGACGTGGATATGCAGACCGGTTTGCAGGAGATCCTCGAAGCCGAAGAACCACCGCGACCTCGGAGGACATTAAAGGAGAAAATGAGTGTTTTGGTCGATTAGCCCTATGATAACGTCATGGTGTGTTCAAATCGCGATCGATAAGATAGGCTGATAATGATAAGATGATACGATGCTATCGGGGACCGGCGCAGTCCGTGATCAGTATAGATACGGTGAATATAAAGACTTGGAAGCGGTATGCTGCATTTGTAACTTGCTGCATTTGACCGCTACTCTAACTGTTGCCCTGACGTATTCGCCATCCGCTCACCCGCAAGTCTGGATATAAAGTTACTCGACTTCGATCCATAATTTCTTCCGACGACTTAACCACTTGACCAACTCAACTCAAAATGACTATCGATATTCGCCCATTGACGCCTCCCCCAGGCTCCGACATCAAATTTGGCGCTGTAGTCGGAAACGTCGACCTCGAGAATCTTACAGGTACGCCAATCAACAATTGACAACAGATAATCGATGCTAATAGAACAGACGACACGTTCAACACGCTCCACGACGCACTATACAAAAACCTCGTCCTCGTATTCAAAAACCAACGCCACCTCACCCCCAAAGCCCAATATGCCTTAACCCAGCGCTTCGACCCATCATCTACCTCCTACGGACACGGCAAGACCCTCGACAGCAAACGGAGCATCCTACACCCAGATTTGAAGACCGTTCCGCACCAGCCGCAAGTTCAAATCATCGGCCATGGACATATCAATTTCTACGAGGGGCTGGACAATATCCAATTGAAACACCCGCATCATCGAACTTTCCATCGCGATCCGATTCCCCCGGAAGATGATCACGACTTTACACGATTTTATCGGTGGCATATCGACGCCGCGTTGTACGATTTGTACCCGCCGAAGGTGACCACGTTGCTGGCTGTGCGGGTCCCCAGGGGCCGGCGTCAGACACTCCGCTATGACGACGGAACAGGTGATACACTGGCCGTGCCACTCGGTACAACGGCATTCGTTAGCGGTGAAACGATGTATAACCGGCTTTCAGAGGAAGAGAAGGAATTTGTGCAGACGAGTAGGATTGAATATGCGCCGCATCCGTAAGTCATCTGCACCAATATCTGTCTACCCGCGCTAAATGTGAATAGGTATATCTGGATGAGTCCTGCCCGCGCCCTCCCGACAGGCCTAGGCCTTCACTCAGAAGGCCTCGAACTCTCCGACTCCGACCTTCCCCCAATCGACCCCACAAAGATCATGACACTCCCAATGATCTGGAAGAATCCCGTCACCGGAAACCTAGCACTACAAATCCACCCCTCCGCCGTGCGAAAGATCCACCGCGACGACGGGACTGTGGTCGACGACCTGAAAACGGTGAGAGAGATCGTGTATAATTTGCAGAGGCCGGCGATTTCACCGCAGTATGTGTATGCGCATGATTGGGAAGAGGGGGATTTGGTGCTGTTTAATAACCGGGGGGTTTTGCATTCGGTTGTGGGGGCTTTTGGGGATGGGGAGGTTAGGTTGTTTAGGCAGTGTAATTTGGCTGCGTCGGAGGGTGTTGAGTAGGCATATAGATAATATTAGACTTGCCATGTTTAGTAGTCGATAATGATAATTGGTCCATCTCGAGCGATCTACAGATCTTCCCGAGATGTACGGAGCTAAACCAAGCGTAGAAACTGCTACATACTATACGGATAGAACTACTGTACAAAGCCTCAACCGCTCAATCAACCCGACAAAGCAACCCCGTATCTAAATCATACTCCCACCGATCACTCCCAACCCCGTTCCTCACAAACAAACTCTCACTCGGATCATACTTCATCTTAATCCCCAACAGCTCCTCATAATAAACCCCATAAAAGTCCTTCTTCCAATGCGTGTTAAAAGAATTCGCCTCGTTCATATACGCCCCTGTATCCGGCGCCCACACCCTCCAATACGCCTCACGGTGCGCCTCAGACCACCTCCCAGCCTTGGGGAGTTCAACGCTAGGAACGCCCGTTGCGTTGATTGGCGCACCGAAACTGAGAACGTGCGTGTAGATGCTTCGCCAGACGGGATTCACGGCGCCGCGGAGGTGAGAAGGGACAGTGCGAGGGCCGCGGCCACCCTGTAGACCGAAGAGGAGCATGGAGCCGTTTTCGCCCTCGACGAAGTTCTGCAGGTGTCTCTTCAGGTCGGGCATTGGGAGGTCGGTGAGCTCCGCGCGGCCGAGGAGGCGGGAGGACATGAGTGATGACGATACAGTGGCCGAGGGGGAGGAGTTTGTGCTGTTGAAGAAGGCGAGGAAGCTTGGGTGAGATTCGATGGCGCCAGGTGTTGCGATGATGGAGCCAGTACGGTTGGTTGCGGCGATGGCTTTCGTTGCGAGGGATTGGAGAATGGTGTGCAGTTGGGTTTCTGTCATGTTGTAGCCGTAGAAGGAGGGTGCGATCACGGCGCCGGGGACGGTGTAGTTTGCGCCAACCATGCTCTTGCCATAGGTGCCGGCGGCGACGGTGATGGTACCTGCGAGAGGAAGAGAGTCCATGAGATCGGGGATACTGCTCAGCACAGCGGTGACGGCGCTCCAGGCATCGTCTGCGCTGGTGTTGCGAGCTCCATACACGCTCAAGCTACCGGTAACCACGCTCGATGGCGCAGGGTGACTCTTCAGCACATACTCAGTGACAATACCGTACTGTCCAGCACCACCACCCTTGATCGCCCAGAAAAGATCGCGGTTCTGGACGTTGTTGGCCGTCAGCACTCGACCGTCCGTCGTGACAACCGTAGCCTGGAGGATCTGGTCGGCTCCCAGACCGAACTGGCTGGAGAGGGGGCCGTGACCTCCTCCTTGGAGGTATCCTCCAAGACCAACACTGTGGTCACCGCCACCGACCACGGTCCGGTTGTGCTGGTTGGCAAAGCCGTAGAGCACGCTCCAGGTGTTTCCACTGCCAGTGACAATCGCGTTTTCTGTGCCGTTGCCGTCGGGGAGGCGCCATTGGGGATGGTATTCGATGTTGCGGAGGGTGTGCGTCCAGATACTCAATGCGTACGCGCCGCTTGATCTGTTCGTATGTTAGTCCCGTCCTTCAAAATAGAAGGAAAACGACGTACCGTCCGCTATAATCATGTCCAGTCCCCTTAACCACAACGCGAATATTACGCTCCGTCGCCCACGCAACGGCAACAGCAACCTGGTGCTCAGTCGCCGCCTCGACAATATACGACGGCGAACCACCAACAACACATCCTTTGTGCGGACTGTACCCCGAAACACCAGGCGGAAGACACGAGTTGTTGGCGTACATCGGCGAGTCGATGCCCTCCGGCAGTGCAGCCTGGTACTCCTCATAGACCCAGTTCTTGCGCACATCGTCGCACGAGTTAGATACATTAAAGGGATTTCCAGGGTAGCATGCGGAAGCTGCTGGCGCGGTTCGGATGAGGGTGCCGTCGATAGATGCGTTCAGGGAGCGCCATTCGTCGAGAGACGGCCAGGAAGTGTCCATGGGGGAGGTTTTGCATTGTGGGCGGGCAAGGGCGATGCCCGGGGCGAACAAGGAGAGCGCGAGAAGTTCGAGGACACCCTTCATGGTTCCGAATTAAACAGAATGTGCTTTTTCTGGAACAAATTGGCACATGGTGATGGAAGCATGTTTATATACCCCTGCTCAACACGAGTACGATGCGATTTCCCAAACAGTGCTAGGGATTAATATGTTATTGAAGCTTAAAATAGATCACAACGGCGCCTTTTGTTATTGGAAGACCAAAACCTTGGATCCTGATCAACGGGCCCCCGAGTACGATCCAGTTGCCGGATTGGGGGATTCTGTCGTATTCGTATTCCGTTTATACTCCGGGTTCCACATCCTAATGTTATATCGCATGAAACTCGCACATGTCATAATGGACATTGGAGTTATTAGGCTGCTAAATTGTCGACAAGATGGCACTTTATCAACGCTTAGGTCGAGCCAATATTCCGAGAGACATGAATAGGACTTCGATGTCATTTAATCGCGAGCGCAAGTGAGCCCCATAAACACAACAATTTAACATGGGCATATGTCAAACCCTGAATTTGAAGACTCCTGACCCTGTGAAATCAAGGCCTTCGTGCAGTGGCAAAGTATTGCAACGTTGTTGGCGTTGCTTATAGAATTGGCAACGGACAACATGAATGTCCGTGTTATCTTTGTCGTTGTACCTGATGTCGAACCGCCACGGGATATGCAACGATCGAGCCCATTTTCCCTCTGAGATAATTGCTCGTTGGGTCTATGTACAGACTGCAGAGTAATATGGTAACATCGACAGTATGCTATTAGTATAATCCAAATGACAGAATTACAACACGTATCCAGAATGCAAGTATATACAAGAAAATTGATATAGAAAAAGAAATCACCTCACAATGTAAAATCCATTCACAGTCACCTGCTGATCCATCTTCTGTGCTGTCTCGGACCGAACCCCAATCCAATGTAACGGGGCTTTCTCGAGCCGCGTCCGCGCGGCGGCATACCCGCCCTTCGTTCGATCCAAAAGGCCCGTGTTCTCCTTTTGCGATTCAGGTGTTGACCTTGGTATTTCTGGTGCCCATGCAGGGTGATCCAAAACGGCCTGCGCGTACGAAACATCATAGATATTCGCGAGCCGGCCCGCTTCTGCGGCGGCCTGTCTGGCTTCGAGGAGTTCATTTTCAGAGGCTGCGGTAGGAGGTGGCACCTCCGGGCGGATGAAACACATTACCCGAATCTGTACTTTGATTTGTTGTGGAAGTGGAATATCCTCAAGGACGCGGAGAGTCGTGGTTCGCTTCGTGATGTGCGACATGTTGACTCTGGTAATCGTAGACGGATCTACGTTTAGAACGGAGAGGACGCTTTGATACCAGTCGCTGGCGTGCTCGTCTTTGCCCTTCGATTCATAAAAGCGAGCCCAGCACATGAAATACCCATGCAGTCGTTCTAGGATCGAATCTGGGACTTTGGTGAGGTTGACTACCGGCCAGTCTTGTAGCTCGTATTGCGGCGGTGCGGCAGTTGGTTCCCAGCGAGCTTTGAAGTCCGTCGGAAATGGCGCTGTCGGTCCTTGGTCCAGATTGTCTGGACCGCTCTGAGCCCCGGGATCCTCATCATTCTGACCATTCGGCCTCAAAAAAGACCCAACACGGTCTCCTAAGCCGGCCAAAGAGAACGCCGCCTGTCCAGCTGTTTGTTTGACAGCGGAAGGCTGGTAAGACTGGACTTTGTTCTGCACCTTCGACGCGGCTGGTGACAGGAGCGCCTGAGCTACTGTCTGTGCATACGTACTGAGAACCATCGCCCCCAGTTCCAGCGGAAGGGTACTCAGACTGGCGCCGCGAATGGAGCTTGGATCCGCAGAAGTCGACAGAACGCGAAACACCGGGCTGTAGCACAGGACCTTTTTCTTTGCGTCCTGACATAGCACAAGTTGAAAGTAGCCATCGCCCGCCTCGACGGGAATCCGCACCATTACCGTCTCCCGTAACTGGTGCGTATCTCGAACTTTGGCAGGGGCCTTTTTGCGAAATTTCGTGACATCGCGCTGCCAGGCCCTTTCGTTCGCCGGATCGACCTGGTCCGCGCGGAGAGCAATGGATGGTGTGACATTGACCCAGTCATCATGTAGTCGGAAAAGCGCCTTGGCTTTCATGCCCGTTTTGCCCGTGTATCCCTTGCTTTGGAGCCAGAACGTACGGCCCGGAGGAAGAGGGCCATCTGAGAAGACGGATACTGTGATGGACGTGATGCTGCCCCGGTAGAATACAATCCCATGTGAATGGCGCAGGATGGTAAAATGCTTGTTCGATTCTGTTGGGTGATTGATAAGGCCACCGAGGAAGTGGCGCGCCTCTCCGTATGCCTTTTGGACGGCGGATGGAGACGACGAAGGCGCAGCACCATTGTCGGTTACGGCTCGAGATACACCAGGCGACGGTTTTGATGGTGTCAATGCATCCGAACTGTTGGTGTCACCTTGATGTAGTGACACCTTCGGGAGGGCGCTGGTCGAGACGTGGCTCGTTAAGGGGGGCCGCGGCGACAGGAGTGGCGGTGCAGCGGATGATGAACCCCCCGATGTTTTGGGACGAATCGAGGGATCTGGAATGTGCAGCAATGGCGGTTTCTGTCTCGCACCTTCCGGTACATCCCCGTGGCTCGGATTGGCTGGAGCAACTGGCTTACGCTTGATGCGATGTTCCAGGGGCGGAACGCCGGGACCACGTGGAGAGAGATGCAATTGAGGATCAGAAGAAGCCATTATTGTGAATACCAAGGGTCAGCATGATGCTCTTGACACGATTAGGGTTCCGAGTCAGTTGTGTGTATCTGATCTACAAACACCGTATGTAGACTCGGTAGACTCCGATTTAGTTGAGATGCGAGATCGGCGAGATAGCGGCTGAGTCAGCATTGCATAATTATTGCGCGCACAAAAAAGCATATAACTTGATTTGCAGTGGACTCCTGCCTCTTGGCAGATGTCAGTGAACAAGCACAATCATGGTACAGAGTAACGGTCCATGTCGACATTGAATCGGACCCCTACTATGTACACAGTCGTTCCTGTGTGTGGCGAAGAAGAGAGACGAAAAGTCCATGCTAAGCTTCCATGGGTAACCAACCGACCAGAATACAGATTGACCAGGGACCAGTCTTCTTCGGGTATAGCCATTGATATGTCCAATTAGATGCATATTCGCAGTACTTTCAGCCAATCAGGATGCTTCTCAGTTGACCTTCCTTTTTAGGCTGGTGATCACTTTTTTCTTCGATTTTCGGTGATGGCTTTTTTGTTTCTTCCTTGTTCTCAACAGTCTTGGATTGCATCGTACTGCCGTCAACATTCCACTCTGGCTGGTTTCCAGAGTGCGGTTAGCCTTAAAGCGGACATATCAAGGCAACGGAAGGGAACATATCGCCCGTACCACTGGATAGCAAAGTATGACAGTCGACACCTACTCCGACTCTCAATCCCCCGGCCGGAAGCTCCAGAATGATGGCGCCTCGAGTTGGGATCACGACCCGCGCAATCCTTACAATTGGCCGACGTGGAGGAAATGGCTTACCATGTGCATTTCCTACTGGGTGACGATTCTGGTTGGGATAAACGCGACCTCGTTCACGACGCCTGCAGAAGCCCTGTCTGCGGAATTCAATGTCGACAATAGCTTTTTCGAATTTAGCTTCTTTGCCGTGACGTCGTGGAATTTCACCGCAGCGGTTGTTCCGCTGGCGACGTTGCCGATGATGGAGACTTTTGGGTTCCGAATAGGGTATACTGTATGTTCAATTGCACCCGTGACAAAGGTACGGATGCTAACAACAGCAGGGAGCGTTTATTCTATTCTTCATCTTCATTATCCCGCAATGCGTGGCGCAAAACTACGCAACGCTCGTGGTCACCCGTGTCTTTGCGGGTGCTTTTGGTGGCACCGTCCAGAACGCTGCTGATGGTATTGCGGCGAATATCTTCTTCACGGCACAAGAGCGGATTTTGCCATTGACGCTCTATGCGTTTACATTGATGCTTGGGGTCACCATCGGTCCTATATTGGGCGCTTTAGTGGAACCGCTCGATTGGCGATGGTAAGCTGCATGTATGACATTGAACATGGACCGGCGGAGGCTAACAATCACAGGGTATTCTGGATTCAATTGATAATCAATGGAGCTACGATTCCCGTTGTTCTTTTCGGCTTGAAAGAAACCCGGGGCCCAGTCATCCGGTCCAAGATCATGCCAGATGAAAAAGCAGATAGCGACAAGCCTAGCGCTTTAACCACCCTGAAGGAAACCGTTGTTCGAGCAGCATTGCTGCTGACCACTGAACCAACCGTCACTTCATTCACCATGTGGTCCGCCTTCTCATTCGGTCTGGTCTTCATCTCGACCCAATCGGTCCCCGTCGTCTACGCAGGTGTATACGACTGGCCCATCTACAGTGGCGGACTCGTGCAAGTCGCCATCGCAATCGGCGAACTCATCGGGACCCTCGCCTTCCTTTTCCAGAACCAAATCTACATCCGCAGCGCACCCCACAATCCCGAGAAACCTGGCATCCCCATCCCCGAAAGCATCCTCCACATCTCCATCCCCAGCACCGTCATCGGTCTCTCAGGCGGTCTGTTCATGTACGGCTGGAGCACGCTCGGTTCCCACTGGATCGTTCCCACAATCGGCCTCACCCTGATCGGATACGGAATCATGACCATTGTCATCTCGGCCAGCGTCTACGTCACGGACTCATATGCCGGCTACGCAGCTAGTGCGATTGCAGCCGTGGCTTTTGGCGAGAATACGTTTGCCGCGTTCTTACCGCTTGCTGCGAAACCGATGTATATCCGATTGGGGTATCAGTGGGCTAGTTCGTTGTTGGCGTTTATCGCGTTGGCGCTGGCTTTGGCACCGACGGTGCTGTTGTGGAAAGGGAGGACGATTAGGAGCAAGAGTAAGGCGATTCAGAGGATGTCGCTTTGATAGCAAACACTGTTGCCTTCGGTGTACATAATATTATCGTACATAATGATTTAGATTAGCACATAGAACATGTCACGTGTGTATTTAATTGTGCACTGTTGTTCTATCTGAATTCCGGAGGCGTCGCCGTCTATACATCCTGTCATTCGCCTTGCTCATGAATAGAATAACCCTATTCAAGGTCTCAGTTGTGCCTTGGGCGGTGGGCGATACGGTTGACTTGGAGACGGAATTCCCCAATGTTCATGCGTGACTGAGTAGGCTGAAGTCACATCCTTCGGTCATCGCTGGGCTGGGTTGGAAGCCTGAGGCGTCAAAGAAGCTGTGATAGGTTATTTCTATATATTCAGGCTTCTTCTTGGAGAGAACAATGAGATAGGTTTGACTGGGCTTCAATATTGTATTGCGCAGCAATGGCTATAACAGAGATAAATGACGAAGAGTGCGAGTGTGAATATGGAAAATGTATCAACCAAGAAAACATGCAAAGATATATACTCCTCGTTTCTCATTGCTTGAGCCTCTTGCTTTCTCGCCTTTCCATCTTCGCTTTCTCCTCCTTCGGCTTCCGCTTCTTGATGGCATCATCAGGTTCGTTCTTTCCATTCGGTGGTTTTCTATTCGCCGACTCTTTGACATCAAATCCTTTCGAAACAGTCTCAGAACCTTGACCAGCATGATAACCCGAAGCAGCAATATTGCGAATCACGTAAGCAACCTTCTCGATGTCGATGAGAGAGACTGGCTCATCAGACTCTGCAACGCCTTTGTTTAACCTTGCTCGCAGCTCCTGCGTGTAATCCCACAGATTTCGGTACTCAATGATATTATATTTAGCAATCAACTCCCCACTTGGCTTCCTATGTGTTGGTGACTTGTCTACTTGGTCTTCTACTTTGGGGAAATCGCCCAGAACCAGCCAAAGGTATACGTCGTCGCTGTAGAAGGGGACTTGATTCTTGGCGTCGCCGAGAACTGTGGCGATGGATAGGATCAGAGATGCGGTCGCCGGACCGACACCGCGGAGTGGTGTGGTGAGGGCGTCCAGGCTGGCTCTGGGGAATGCTTCGCTCGGTGCGAGTATGGGGTTTGCGTCGGGGAGAGCGGCGAATGCGGTCGAGGTGGATTTGGTGACAGTCCTGTCTTGGTTGCTTTTCACCATTCCCATGAGGGCCGGACGGAAGACTCCATGTTTCCTGCGGATCGGTGAGTAAACCGAATCTCGAATGTCAAACGAAATCGTCACTCACATCTTCCAATCCATAATATCAACAAGCTCTTCCTTGAGAAGATGTGCCCCCTCCACCTCACCCCCTTCCTTCTGACCACCCCTCAGCTTCCGCTCCCCGACGATCCTCGGGAGAACTTCATACCGCCACCGATCAAGTTCAAGAAACTTGTCTGTCTCTCCGCGGATATGCTGTTCCTCCGACGTATCGAACCCCGTCTTCGTGGTAGGTATCACACTAGCTTTCTTATCTACCTTGCTCTTCGATCCCCTCTTCGACTTCGGCTGCAGCTTCAGTGTCGCCTTGCGGCGATGCACTTGCGACACGGTCGTCTGGTAGCAGGACAGCAGGTCGCGGAAGGTTTGGAGGGTGATCTGGCACGGGTGTAAGGACAGCGCGTTCTTAGCTTCGTCATTATGTTGGGCTTGGGTTCGTTCTGGCCGGGAGTCGCCTGTTATTGTTTCTGTCTTCTTGGCCATAACCGACAAATGCAAAGCTCAGGCAACTCGGTTCAAAGAGATGTTGTCGCAATTGGATTTGGAGTTATGGGGAAGCGCTGTTATCGCGAGCTGATAAGCTTGCGTATGGCCGGGGGTTTTCTGTGGTAATTTACTGTATTATATTACACATCGGCAGTCCCCAAAAAGAAATTCAGTTTACATCAAGCTTTACGGATATTTCACAATTCAATGGCAACTGGCTATGGAATAATTCATAGCTGTATTTTGAGTGGTTTGGCTCTGGGTGATGTTATAATTTTTTTGTAGTGTTTGGTGCTAGTATAATTATAAAAAATAAACCAATATAACCATCACTGAAGAGGCTACTACATACGACTAGACCTCGCCAAAGCCCCGTCCATTGGCAGGGTGCTCCCGTCCACGGCCCAAACCCACGAGCCCATCGATGGGCACGAGAGAAGTCGCTGAAGAAGGAGTAACTGAAGAGGATGCATATCATCCTGTAAAGACAATTCTTCGTCCTTGCTTTCATCTTTTACTGGTATTAGACAACTACGCCTCAATATCCAGAAATGCTTGCTCTTTATCAAAGTTCTCTCGGACTTGATGCTGTAAGGCCCTCAACAGCCGCTGTCGCGTGTTATTCAATTCTTTCTGTCATTGGCGGATACAATCCAGTCAGCTTGGTTGCTGGGACTTCTCGTAACGGGCGCGAGCTTTAAGTAGATCGTGGCAGGCCCCTTCCAGGCCTGGATGATCCTCTATCCGGTCCCTCTGCTGCTTGGTCAGATACTGTGGTCGCCGTGTATCTTGCCAACAACTCTGCTGGGTAACAGTCGCATCAGTTCCACATCTGGGTCAAGGCCACAGATAACCCAGATCATATCTGTGTCAAGTTGCAATGGGTGATAATGATTAAGAAAGGTACAAGGGCTACTAGCATGCTTCATGATAAACATGTGTTGTCCCTTGCTGACCTTTCCTGCGAAGCCGTCAGCCACTGGGCAGATAGGAAGATTCAATGGATTCTTGGCGCAAGATTGCCATTTACCACTCTCATTCATCACCTTACCACTTCCATATTGGAACTGATGCGCACGAAACCCCCCTTTTCCAGCCGTGGATCTCCTCAAAAGTGACCAGCATGCTTGACATCACTGTCTTTGGCATCTATTGTGTGAATAGTCAGAGGCCCTGACTAATTCAGGTTTGCAGAATAGATACCAATCAGTCTTGTCCTGGTCTAAAGGTACAAGGAGCTGCTTGCAGCCTTTGCTAATGAAGAGCTTGCGCAGCTTGGTCTTCGAGGTCAAGTTCGGGTTCCGGAACGCTCGAGCATGGAAGAGAATCCCGAACAGTAACATGTGCGGGCAGAGCGCTAATAATGGCCTGTAGATCACTTCCAGGAGTGCAAAGGTTGTCCTATCTATTGGTTAGCTGGCATGCTCGAAGTTAAGTGACGAATTCTCAGAATGTCTATAGAGCATCCATGTGATAGGAGCCAGTGCAGGCAAGAAGGGTAGAGGAAATTGGCCATATTACAATTTAGTCTTCCTGAGAAACCTTTTGTCCTCTCTGCAGTGAGTTCGACTAGAGGAATCAGAGATCTACCGCGAGAATCCTTTTGAAGGGAAATTTGAAGATCCCTGGACTGAAGACTCAGCAGCGCGTTTTCTCGATGAACGATGAACAGACCCAGGGAATTGAACAGGCACACTTCGATACGCTGGAACCCAAGATAGAACTTCTTTTCTTGCGTAGACAGGATGTTTTTTCAAATGGACCAATATCCTTGATATAAACCGGCGTCTTGTTTCCAGGTTGAGTGTCTAGCCCGTTCTCTTGGACTAGATATTTGATGCCCTGTTACTAGTTAGACTAAAAAGCCCGACAGATCATAAGAAGTACAGCTTTCATTACTTACCCTCCGCATTCTGAACCATTCTCATCATTAATTTTGATCTTGGTTGTCTTCTGGTAATATCCTCGAAGGTTCTTCCAATCCATCTCTAACGAGCTGGATTTGTTAATGCCAGCCCTCTTTTCCTCGCCGGAGTTTAAGACACCAACCTAAGAAACAGTACATGTCATTATTTGACGCCTCGCGCAGGGCCTCCTTAGGTTCCTGCCATTTTGGGATCTCAGGCTTCGGACGTGTTCTGCTGCTATAGTACCTATAACTTCATCAGCAAGGCCGACTAAGATGCAGCATCACTAGAATAACAGACCATTTCCAGCGGGTTTCAATCCGCTCTCGCCGCAAGATTGTTCCTTCTGCCTTATCAAAATCTTCGGGGATCTCGAACAGGTCGATCCCAGTATCATCAAGGGGGTCGTCGTAGAATTCTCCCGCGTCATTAGGTTCTCCTGATTCCATAGTGGGGTGGCTTTCATCCGCCCAAAGACGTTTTTGTGGGCTCGGGGTATCATCCGGCTCCGTCAAATCCGTCTCATAAGTGGCGTCACGCTATTCATCTGAGTTGGTGCTGCTGCTTGTGATGTTGTCCATCAGCAGCTTGTTGTTGGGACTGTGCATACTTCTCTTGTAAGACTTCCCAGTATTGCTTCATATAGTCAATTCCACCCTTCCAGTCTTGCGAAGTACTAAAGCTTTTTGGATAGAGAAAGGATAGTTGCAATTGCATATATTCTCCCGTATTCCTCTCGATCAGTTGCTGTATAATAAACGGAGAGCTTCTGCTGTGCAGCTTGTCACGGGCTCGGGCCTTGATTGCTTTCTGGCATCATTTGCTACGTTGGTGGTGTTTGCCGATAAAGGCGCTGAGCTGAGCCGTCACACCTCCCTGGACTGTGCCCTAGGGGTCGCAGTTGGCTGCTGTTTGGGCACTGTATTTGAGTCCCAGAAACTTGTCAACAGCGGGTTTGTCTGTTCAGTGATATGGAAGTTCCCTGGGTCGATGGCCCGGAGAAAACGGGTTTAGTTTATCGGCTTTGCTGGTGTGTAGCTCGGAGGCACGGCGGATGTTGAGTGTAGTTGGTGGATCCTGACTGACATGTTGCGCCGTCTCTGATCAAGGAGTACAATTACCATAATCCCCAGACCTGTACCTGTACACCCAGATGCCGCATTTGCAGCAAGAGAGATCTTCAGAGGCCCATTCTCTCCCAATGAAGAGGATACACCAGACCCATGTTGTACCAATTGCTGTGGCCCATTTCCAGCAGACCACTCTAACTGCAGTCAACTGTCATCAACCCCCGGGCTGACATCTAGTCGGCTGGGATGCGGTTAATAGTCAGGCGGGTGCACTTAACTATTAAAATATAAGGTGAGACCGAGCCGACGAAACATATCCATGGGTCGGCATGATTGGACGCAGTATCTTCCCCGCCCCGTGACGTAATCCGGAGTAGGGAAATCCGTGGGTTCGTCCCCGCATTCCCCACGTGGTCCCACAAACCCCGAAATGTACCCCCACGCTCCCGTATCCAGATTTCAGAGGGAGAGTGGGAAAAAGTTTTCCCACTCTGTCTATACAAGAGATAGAGATGTCTCTTAACTACGGAGTCAGTAATGCATAGTAGTGCTGGCTTATACTTAATACTCTGCCAAAAGGATCGCAACCATGCCGGCTGGGGGTAATACCCTCAACTCTACCAGATTATATCCCCGAATCAGGTTGTGGTGCAGCCTTTTGCCCAGATCCAACCCAACCCCCCGCCGGTATCCATACTGATGGAGTAGTGTCCTAATCCTCGGCGGCCAAGACCCGATGGGCTGGGGATGCTTCAGCTGAAAAAGCTAAATACCGCTCCATCCCCGTACCCCACGGGGATTCTTTATTTCAGGGACACTTCGGGGCGATGACAATCTCTGACTGCAAGCAGCACAAGCCATGGCAGACGAAATCTCCAAGCCCGGCGTTGATGCCGCCCACTTCGAAAATTCGACTGGGACCATGGAAAGGGCCGAAGCCACCGCAGTGAGCTCTGCGCTGGCCGACCCGACAATGCGCTTGCGGATAGAGAAGAGCCTGAAGCGCAAGCTCGATGCTCGCTGCGGCCTCTTTGTTCTCATCTACATCATGAACTACCTCGACCGGAACAACATCGCCGCGGCTCGTCTCAAGGGGCTCCAGACCGATCTGAACATGGACTACAGCCAATACGCGACCTGCCTGAGCATTCTTTATGTCGGCTATATTCTGATGCAGGTTCCTTCCAACATCTTCATTAACAGAATTGAACGGCCCTCTCTCTATATTTCACTCGTTATGCTTGTTTGGGGTCTTATCTCGACCCTGTCGGGTGTCGCCACCAACTTTGCCGGGATGGTCTGCATCCGTTTCTTCCTGGGCTTTACTGAGGCTGCTTTCCTCCCCGGAGCTCTGATGATCTTGTCGAAATGGTATACTCGTCGGGAGCTCACAGTGAGAAACGCTATCCTGTTTTGTGGAAATCTTATTTCGAATGCCTTTTCCGCACTCATTGCAGCTGGAGTTCTCTCCGATATGCAGGGCGTTCTTGGTCATGCTGCATGGCGTTGGCTCTTCTGGAGTAAGCTCGCTTAATCGCCGCTGATATTACAAAGTTGACTGACCATATTATGTTTCCAGTCGAGGGTGCCATCACGATGTTAATTGCCATTTCTGCAGCATTCATTCTCCCTGATTTGCCAACCAACACGCGCGGTTTTACAAAGGAGGAGCTGGAACTAGCTCAGCTAAGAATGGCCGAGGACGTCGGTGAGACTGACGTTGATTCGGAGGATCAAGGGCCGTTGGATGGCTTGTTCATGGCCGTGAAAGATATCAAGATCTATATAATGATGCTTACATTTACTGCTTACGTGGTCGGCCTCTCTTTCAACGCGTTCTTCGTGAGTTCTTCTCCCAGTCTTCTCTTCACGCTCGCTCTGACTCGGGAAATTTTAGCCGAGCCTTACGGAAACCCTCGGGTTCAGTTATGTGCCGACTCTGCTCATGAGCGCCCCGCCATGGGTATTTTCCTGTATCTTTTCGCTGATTGTTGCCTGGAGCTCCGATCGGTATCAGGAGAAGGTTCGTCTGCACCTGCAACCAGTTCAATAACCTATCAATCGCCTCTCTGGCTAACTCGTGATTCCGCTCCTAGTTCTGGCATATTGTCGGTCCCATTCTCGTCGGCATGGTCGGATTCATCATCAGCATGGCCACTCTGAACGTGGCAGCTCGATACGTCGCTCTCTTCCTCCAAGCTGCTTCTTATGCTGGGTAAGCTTCCTATCAGACCTAGCCCTACATACCATGCGAAAACACCCTTCCTTTCATTTCTGATTCTCTATATTGCCTATCTCGCTCCCTACTAACCGGATCCAAAACATGAAGCTTCATCGTCTTCTACTCTTGGATCAGTACATCCTTTCCCCGCCCACCCGCCAAGCGCGCCGTCGCAATCGCAATGATCAACGCATTCAGCCAGCTAGGCAATGTGGCTGGCTCGTACGTCTGGGATCTCTCGGATAACGGATACCGGAAGAGTTACGGGATCGTCACAGCAATGTTTGGCATCACTATTGTTGGATGTCTAGGGTTCCGGATGTTCCTGTCTAGTCTGAATAAGAAACTTGAGGAAGCCGAGCATGATACCAATGTCCAGGCCAATCAGGATGATGCGGATGAGACGTTGCGGATGAGTAAGGGTTTCCGGTACCTCGTTTAAGTGAATTTGGGCTGTCGGCAATATGGATATAGATGTATATGTATGTGTCTGTGTGCTTGCGATGATCTTCATGATTTGGACATTTTCATAGAAGTCGAACAAGATGCTCCCTGATTAGGGTAGGACAAATAGAACCCAGAGCCTATAAGAGCAGCTGTGTGCACCCGTAAGCGCCCACTAGTATGCAAAAATGTCCAAGTGTTGATAAAAAAAAAAAAAAAAAAAAATGGCAAAAAGGGTAGCCCCCGTGCCATGTGCAAGGAAATTATTCATTATGGATAGATGAAGAGAGATCAGTTCGCGACATTTTGATATAGAATAAAGGCTAAGGTAGGGGGATCAAGAGGCAAGAGGCTAGGGAGCATCACAGGCTCAGACCAGTAGATAATTATAAAATGACATTCCTATCTAAGCTAGTGTAGTTATCGGCGAGAAGATAAAAAATAAAGAGTAAAGGAGAAGAGGAATCTATCTGTGGAAAAGAAGACCGCAAGATTCGATTGGTAGTCAATCATAACTTGCTTTAGTTTAGGGCAGATATGTGAGGGCTAGGGTAGTCTTCTCCCAAGCTGACAGCCCCCAACCGCTAGGCTGGTTCGGCTGAATCTCAACCCGCCCGAAACGTGGTCCCTTATTTTCATTTTTAACCTTGGAGCGGTGCAGCAATTGACTAGCGCGAAGATAAGATGAGGGGAGATACTCAACTACCAAAAGAACTTCACAACTTCACACTGGACCTGACAATATGACACAATTCTCTCTTATGCCCGTGAAAATTCTCGACTTCATATTCAGTCACCTAAACAAATCCGACCTTTCTCGCTTATCTCGGACGTGCAAACAAATCTACTAACAAGCCACCCCGCGTCTCCGGAGAAGCTACTGCAACTATAACCAGCAACCTTACAATGCATTCCTGCGGGCTATTATCACCAACCCAGTTCGAGCCAAGCATGTTGAAGAGCTCCACACATCAAATGTATCCGAAGATGACCCTCGTGAAATTCCAGAGGACAACATCCAATTCTTCCAGTCAGCAGTCTCGAAACTCTCACTTTCTGACGAACTCAAAGATCGCCTAAATGAGGGAATAAAGGAAAGGCACAGTGACCCGATGCTGGCTCTTCTACTCTGCAAGCTACCCAATCTGAAGAATCTATTCCTATACCGACCTGATATCTGCGACATGATATGTGAGCTTATTAAGCACGCCAATTCGGGCAAATTTTCCGGTCTTGACAAGCTCCAACGATTCTCCATAAAAACCATCAACGTTTTCTGTGATGTGGGAACTGTTCGAGACTATGGGGGCGTTTTTAATATGGCGCACGAGGTGCAAATCGTGCAGCTAAATGATGAGACTATGAGTCCATCCCGATTCCAATAGGGCTCATCTGCAGTTGAGCATCTTCATATCCTCGAGAGTGGTATGGGAACTGATGCCATGCGGGTGTTTGCGCAGAGTTGCAAAACACTCCGCACGTTCAATTATACCTTCGGGATGTCGATTACTACGATGGCTATTTCAAAACGCAGGAGGCTGCGAAAGAGCTCAAGCGTCATAAAGACACGCTCGAGGAGCTCACGATTCTGTACAACGATGACCGGCTAAAGCAGTCCTGGTACGGCTGACGACTCGCGAATGGTACATGGGAACTGAACTGCAGCAATTCACAAAATTGAAGAGACTGCGGAGCGGTATGCACAGTCTGCTTGGGCTCTTGCATCCACAGTCTGCTGCAGTGGAAACATACCCCGCAAATCCTCAGGCTGACAGAGAAAGGCCAGAAATGGTGGACGTGCTTCCGGCGTCAATAGAGCACTTGATCATCGCCTGCGTTACATTCAGCAGGTCAACGCTGTCTACGCCTCTTGGCTCACTGCCAGATTTGCCTACAGAAAAACACTTGGAATACTGCACGCCTTAGTCAGGATTATCCCACTGGTGAACTCAACGCAAGTCTATCGATTAGCGAGCTGGCACCCCACAACTATTAATTGCCTGGGCTTGAAAAGAGTGAAGCAACTTACGACCGCCATATTTAAAACAACCTGCGCGAATATACATCCATCGTAGAAGTCAAAAGTCAGTAATTGCCAAGATTGCACTGGAGAATTTTGAAAGCCGTGAAGCAAGCATTGATGATCTTCCAGTATGTCAATATTTTCTCCAGCGCTTCCATAAGCTCGGACTACTTCACGGGGATGTTAACTGGCACACCTTCATTATTCAAGACAGAATGGCCAGGTTAATTGCTTTTTGAGAGGAGTTAATTTTTTCAAAGTGATATGGTATTTATGCAAACCGAGATGCACAGCCTTAACAGCCAGTTGGTGGAAGAAACAGGACGTGGCAAGGCATTTAGGTTTACCACACATCAGGCATGGAATCAAGTGTGAGCAGCACAAGAAAAGTATCAGCCGGAGTGCGGCAGTCATATTACGTATTTTAATGTATCACAATCTATAGTAAGATTGAGGATTTCCGGGCTTTGCGTACAGTTCTACAAATTGTCTGTTTCAAAATAAAATAATGACATCATTATTTCCATGTACCGTAGAAAATTAACGAAGCAATATAGTGAAATGGTTACGCTGGAGCAGTTGAAAACTGCTCCTTCAAAGCCTGGATGGAAGGCGTGAAGAAGTACTCTCCACCCTTCTGATCAACCCACGGTTGAACACCAAGTTCAACCTTGACGGTACGATCATCGTGGTCTCCATCATACAAAGCGACGTGACCATTGGGATGATCGGGTCGGTTCTTCTGGTGAACGAAGGCGTCCATGCCAACGCCGTGGGGGAAAGTCTTGGTCTTATATTTGGGGAAGTTCTCATTGCTCGCCCAGCCTATGTTGGTTAGACTCTGTAGTTAAGATTGGATTGGTGTACTTACGAGTCATGAGGAAGTTGAATCCATCCCGAATCATACTCTGGTAGCAAGTAAAGAGGATACCACGAGATTCAATCGTTTTCTTCTCCTTCTTTTCCTGATCAGTGAGTTCAGGACCGAAGGAGATTCCCCGACGAAGGATAACATTAGGGCTCTCTTCTTGTCCTTCGGCCTCGGACTGGTCGCTATCTTCTGGCTCTGGAAGTGGAGTCTCGTCACCGTCTTCTTCTGTTCCGACTGCCGCCTTCTCATCGGATCTGGGACGCATTTTACGGGTGTGAGCTGAAAATGGACAACCCTTGATACTCTTGTTAGGTCGATAGTCGAATTTATTGTCCCATGCCAGACTTGGGTCGTCCCGGTCGACGGCCTTGGCGACGGGGGCTCCTATTCTACGGGTTAGCTCTTGTCTTGAAATCAGTGGATCAGACGTTGAAGGGTCAGGCGTACCGCTTTTCCATCGTCCCATGAGATGAGCGCCCAGCTTTTCTGGGCCTCCTTCTCCCTGATAGTTGCTACCGGTAATCTTGGGTGCTGTCTCCTGGAGGAAGTTCTCGAACTCAGGAACTTTCTGATCGAGCTGACGAAAGACGAAGAAACTGCCCTCCTTGGCCCAGGCAGGTGGTTTGGTTGGTCTTCTCAAGTTGGGATCACCTTTGTGCCCGAGGAAGATGTATCCTGGCTTACAGGCATGAGGTTCGCCCTTGGCCGGGGGTTTATCCAAGCCTTGAATCTTAGGCTGAGAGATGTGGTCTTCCCAACCGAAGCTATACGGAATTAGCATTTATTTAGTTAGCGGTTAGAAAAAAAAAACATACTGCTCCTTGCCACGGCTGTCACCAGGACGAAGCTGACCATCTCTCTTGAAAGCGATCTTCATACTGCGAGTGTTAGCATCACCAGCATGGAAGGCATCCATTAGATCGCCGATCTTGTTGTGCAGAGCCTTGGGACTGTGTGCGGCGACGATAAAAACACCATCTGTCCTCCAGGTCCAACGCTCAGTGTCGTCTTTGATTGATGCATTGCCCCGGTCGGGAGGTTTGAAGTCCTGATCTAATAGGTCGTAGTAATCGGCGCCTTCTGTGGTGAGGTCCAGAAACATCCCCTTCTCAAAAAGACCCTCGTTGATTCTCTCCGTGCAATAAGCGTCTGGATCGTCTGCTTTTCTTTTGGCGAATCTCTCTTGAACTTCAGGCGGTTCCACCTAGAAAACCATCCAAGGGTTAGAATATACGCCACTTATTTCCGACGATACAAAGAAAGAAAAGAGAAAACTTACCTTGAGCAAGCCTGGGTGGGTAAAGGCAATGTTCACAGCCACAAAAGGCTTTGGTTCAGGGTGGGCTTTGCGCCAGCTAACGCTGGCTTCTTCAAGCTCTCCAATAGAAGTTAGGTATTTCTCGCATTCAGAACCAGTGGTGATCTCGTCAATGATGGCGTGGAGGTCGTTCCTGAACTTCTCCTTATTGGTGATCTTGAAGAACAGATAGGATTCATAGGTCTTAGGTAGACGGGGCCAGATGCTGCCCTGAATGTTGTCTGTGTTGACAACTCTGTCTTCCTTTGAGAGAGGCATTTTGATCTGTTGGCTTCGGAGGGTTTGAAGCGCACAAATTTGGTTTACCTCTTCTGAAGACTTGGGAGGAATGCCATTTTATGTGTGACTTACGAGGTTTTACAGCAGGGAAAAGAGACTACGCCATTGGCCACCAATTACAATGAGATATTACTATTCCGGCTGACGATGGCGTGCAGAATCAATAGGCAGGTTCAGCTCAGCTCCCCCTCTTTGACCTGTGCCTGCCCCTCCATTTCGAATCAACACATCATCATATGAACATCACAACCAAGATAGCGGTGATGGTAATGGAGGGAGCATCAATTGTGGATACTTGATTCAGATAGCGGCATGGTTCTTCCAGATTCGTTGCCTTCTTCATTTTCTGAACTGGGAAAGTCCTAAACTGATCTATCGTATTTTCAGAATGCCAATCTTCGAGTTCTGCATCTCCATTAGCTTCTCCAGTGCGATCTGTTGCATCCAATCCTATCGGTCCGTGCTCCGTCCAGTGACAGTGATGAGAATGGATGGTTTTTAAGCGAGTCGACTGAGCGACTCCATCCTCTGAGCTCCGACTAATCAAAATCACCATATTATGAAGAAGTCTAGACGAAATCATGCATCTTCTGGATCTTCATCAGCACAGACTGCGTGGCTTCTTTTTCAGCTGAGCTGAACCTGTGGAGCTGAATAGATTGTGTGGGGGGGGGGTTGGTGCTGAGTGCATGCTTACACCAGACATTTGTACTAGTATTGACCTTTTGTTTTCGAAGAACCCTTCCACACCACGTGTGCGGAATATATCGCCGTTCTCATCACACCCAGCCATATCCAAGCAAATGATTTGATAGTTAATGTCTTCCCGTCTCAGCTGTCAGCTCAACGCCGTCACACACGTACGGAATATGGATTTGCTGGTGTGGGCCGCGCCGTGCGCATGGTGGCGCTTGCCAGACCCACTTGGAGCAGTTCGTGGCGTGAGCAAGGTCGATGCCCAGCCAAATATCCAGCCAATGTAGAGGGACGATCTCAGGCGGAGAAGATTTAACGAGGTGAGGAAAATTCGGGTTTGCTCAATTTCTTGGCAACTTAGGGTCTGCAGTTGTTACCAGATCGATGGTTCGCCTAAGGAATATATCGTAGACAGTACACAACCAATGTCGACCAGACACCGTATAATCAATCGTGTGAGTGAACACTTGAATGAGCATTCGGTAACCGCATTCTCGGTCAATTGACAAGTCTTGGTGCGGCTGAAGGATCGACACTGGAAGTGGAGATCCTGCAGAACCATGCAATACAGCTCAGTGCCACTGACATTACGATTTGCTCTTTACTCTTGACTGGTAGTTGCGTTTCTGAATTCGGCTACGGAGTACTACCATCGCTTGCCATCATTTATAATCGATATCTTCTCTCCCGCTCGTTCATGACAATCACCATCAACGGACCTTCACCATCAAAATGAAGTTCCAGTGGGCATCCCCTCTCCTCTTGGGGGCAGTCGCTGTCGACGCCTTCATGCCCCCCGAGTTTTCTTACAAATCCTCTGATTCCGACGGTGTTGATATTGCCAAATCTGTCTCTGGCAAGATCAAGTACCAATCTCCTCCCGCCGACTCTGACCTGATCCCCAAATATAGCGAGAAGAACTCCACTGAGAATTGGGAGGTCCAGTGCTCTAGCCAATTTGAAGGCAGCAAGTGCGAGTATGCCATCGACGACCGGGGCGAAAAATACTGGCAGAGCGATCCAAATGAAAAAAATTCCTCGTGGATTGTTGTCGACCTCCGCAAAGAGTACTATGTCTCTGGCCTGACCATGCTGCCTATCCTGGACAAGAGCCTCAATCGTGGTCAGATTGGTGAGCACACCATCGCTATCTCGCAAGACAATGAAACCTGGACCCAGGTCGCATACGGCACTTGGGGATCGAACAAGAGTCCCAAAATGTCAGCCTTTGACCCCAAGCCCGCTCGGTATATCAAACTCGACGCCATCACCCAATCCCACCCTGATCGATCGCAGGAGGGCGGCAAGAACAATATCTCCGTTGCCAACATTGCCGTCTATGCCTACAAAGAAGGCACCTACCCGAAAGATGATCCCAGCAAGGGTGTCTGGGGTCCCACTCTCGACCTTCCCGTCGTCCCTGTGGCCGCCGCTGTCGACCAACATGGTGATGTTATCATGTGGTCTGCCTGGTCTGACGATCAGTTCTACGCCTCCCCCGGTGGCAAGACACTCACCACCACCCTGGACCGTGACGGCAGTATCACCCAGAGTGTTGTCAATGAAACAAAACACGATATGTTCTGCCCGGGCACTTCGATGGACATTGACGGTAATATTATTGTCAGTGGTGGTGCTGATTCTGGCCGCACCAGTGTGTACAATGGCACCGCGTGGCTGAAGGGTCCCACCATGTCCATTTCTCGTGGATACCACTCTTCGACCACCCTCTCCGACGGTCGTCTCTTCGTGATTGGTGGCTCCTGGAGCGGTAGCGATAAGACCATCAAGAACGGAGAGGTCTACTATCCTGGTGAGAATGCCAGGTGGGAAAGACGTCCTGGCGCCAAGGTCGACGAAATGTTGACGGACGACCAAAAGGGCATCTGGCGAGCCGATAACCACGGCTGGCTCTTTGGATGGAAGAATGAAAGTGTCTTCCAGGCTGGCCCCAGTGTCGCAATGCACTGGTTTAACCCTGATGGCAAAGACCACAAGAACAGAGTCAAGGGTACCACGCACCCAGCCGGAACGCGTGGAAACGACCACGACTCCATGTCTGGCAGTGCCAACATGTACGATGCCACCAAGGGTAAGATCATTGCTTTTGGTGGCCAGCGTCACTACGACGGCTCCTACGGTTCCAAGAACGCCCATGTCATCACCCTGGGAGACGCCTACAAGCACCCTGAGGTGAAGATCGCTGGCAAGGGCCCTGATGGAAAAGGTGATGGTGGAATGCACCATGCCCGTGTTTTCCACACTTCTGCTATCCTCCCTGACGGCAAGGTCTTTATTGCTGGTGGCAACACCTGGGGTGCGCCCTTCCACGAGGATGACATCGTGTTCACCTCTGAAATCTACGACCCCGAAACCGACACTTTCACCGAGCAGGCTCGCAACAACATCAAGCGTGTCTACCACAGTATCTCTGTGTTGCTGCCCGATGCTAGGGTCCTCAACGGTGGTGGTGGTCTCTGCGGTAACTGCTCTGCCAACCACTACGACGCCGAGATCTACACCCCCTCGTACCTCTTCAACAAGGATGGCACTCGTGCCACTCGCCCCAAGATCCTCAACGGTCCCGAAAAGGTCACTGTTGGCGGAGGACTCGAATTCCGGACCGACTCCAAGATCAAGACTGCCTCTTTGGTCCGCGTTGGAACGACCACCCACACCGTCAACACTGACCAGCGTCGTGTTCCTCTCGAGCGGATGCGTCACTACGGTAACAACAAATACGGTGCTGACCTCCCTCAGGACCCTGGTGTTCTCCTTGCCGGATGGTATATGTTGTTCGCCATGAGCGAACAGGGCACTCCCAGTGAGGCCAAGATGGTCAAGGTTGAGCTGGCAAGCCCTCCCACCTACCTTTCCAACGGCTACGCCGACCAAAAAGAGGTGGATATGGGATCGGCTATTAAAACGCCTAGTGACTGTGACTTGGATGACGAGTCGGAGATCAAGGGAATCGTCTCTATTGTCTTTGCTGCGCCCAGTAAGCTCTGGAGAAGCTGGAGGTCTGCTTTCACGATCCAGCCTTAGTGTATCTATATTGGCTTGACTTGAATTGAATGGTAGTAAAACGCGCAAAAAAAAAAAAAAAGAGCTGAGAGTCAAACAAAGAACAGTCTACTTCTATATATCACAACGTTGAGCGCGATTTTCGAGGTTTAGGGCAAATTGTGTCACAGAAAATTTAGGGGAAATCGACGAATCATACATGATCCAACGGTCGAACTGCAGCTAATATCAGTATTTGCCTTGAATAAAGTGGACAAAAACAAACTTTTGCAAGTTGGACCCCTAACCATAAACATCGATACATCCTCGCAATGGTCAGAGACAGCACCTGAATCGAGCGTCCATTATCTTCCGCCAAAGCACCCTCAAAATAGTCAGCAGAGAAGTATCGCTGACTCCTGACCTGCCTACGAAAAAGGAAATCTTCTGGAAAACACTTTCTGTCCTCTGCGACATGAAAATCCATGTTACTCCAGATCATCTTGAAGGTGACATGAGCACTGTAGTAGACCAGTTTTTCCTGAGATTGCGAGTTCTGATACTCGCAAAACTCAGCCTCAATTGTGTCCAAGTTCTCAACAGGCGTCCAATTCATTAGCACAGTCAGATTTATCTCGTCTTGTGCCAAGCCCTCCTTGAATTCGTTAGATAGCACAGCGTTGGTAGATCCATACTGAAAAATGGCAGCGAAATTGCACGATGTGATAGGAACCCCATGCATCTTGAACTCACTCCCAAGTTGACAGATGTATTCATTCAGGTAGAGCAGATGCAAATCCACATGCATTCTGAAATCAGACAGAGAACCTTGCGTGAGCAGAGTTCCATGAGCGGTCACAAACACAGAACTAAATATCAGTAGATAATCAGGCTTGGGTTCATTGGAAACGCGTTGGAAAAATGATGTAATTCTTTCTCCAGCAGGAGGAAACAAGCCGACGCTAACCAGACTTTTTGTGTAGTAAAAGAGCTCTTGAAGCATGTCTGGCCAGGCAAGAACAGCCAGATGCTGTTGGATCTGGCCAAAATTCGGCCTCTTATCTGCTGCTTTGTGGTACCAATGCCGGGCCATGCTGGCCCAGGTCTTCCGGTCCTGTGGTATCGGGCTAAATCACCGAGACACTCAACCCAGGTATCCTCAAAGGCAGGAACGCTCTCTAGCAGTAGGGTCATCATCAACAAGCCAAATTTAGAAACGTAAGCATATGCTCTAGGGAATCCGGAAGTCGATGGTGCAACAATTCCAAAAATGGATGGATACCATAGCACCACATGCGGGCTGGCATGGAGTGCTTCTCTGATAACTTTTCCAAAACCAGACTCGCAGAAGGTTGCTGCGAAGCAAGATAAAAATCATGATGCTCATGAAGCAATGTCTGATACAATGAGACCAGCGCCTGCCATTGACAATCCGACAATTTGTTTGACGACTCGGTGTGCTGCTTGGCCGTTTCAATCCAGATATAGCAGGACAAGCCACTATGGGAGACTGCGAGATTTACATAGAACGATCAGCAAAGGCGGAGCATTGTTTGTGTTCTGGCATTGGTGGATTCTGGAGTCAGATAAACATAGAGTACTCAGTCCATATTTCTCGTATGTCACCATATATGGTTACAAATATTTTAATTTTGGTTATTGCTATTTGACCTGCCACCGTGACAATAGAAAGTGCTTGCTAAAACTAAGATTATTTCATCGCCGTGTGGTGAAACCCCTCCAGTCGCTTGATTAAATATAACTAATTAGTGTATTAATTGAATGACTCAACAAATGGCTGATCGCGCCGAAAGCCAAACCATCATCTTCCTCCGAACAGTGGTTTTCCCCAGGAAGACACAACAATCCGAAGTCAACAAGGCGCACAGGGAATAAGACCGGGAC